CTAGCCCTAAGGGGGTGATGAACCAAATGTAGAAAAACAGTCAGGTGGAACCAGATGGAGAAGACCCAAGGAGTTTGGACTTTCTCTCATGCCATGAGCAACACTGAAGATCGAGCTCCCTGGGAATAAACAAAGGTACAGGGTGCAGAGGAAGTCTAAATGTCAGCCACGAGCTCAGTACTGTCTGGCAAAGCAGAATTTAATTGCTATATTGAGTGTCATTGTATAACCCAATTATTTATTTATTTATTTTAGTGCGAAGACCAACAGACGGGAAAGCAAACAAGGATTGGTCCCCAGGCCAATTTCGAGATTTACTACCTGCCAAATAAAAATAAGATCACATATTTCAAGTAATTTCAAACTAGGTCAAACGCAAGTAAATGTACACATTGCAATTATTAGAGTAAAAAAGGCTTCCTATTGAAACAATGACAATGTCTACATCAAGATATACCTAAGTTTTTCCCATAAAATGTTTATACTACATCAAATATAATCTGAATCCTTATTCCATGATGAGTTCATAGGCTATAAAATGCAATTAGAGTTGACGAAATTAGCACAATGAAATTTCAAAACATGGCATTGCTCGCTTACTTGTTACAATAATTTAAGAACCAGACAAGTTGATGCTTTTAGAAAATTCATGGTCACAACAAACTAAGTGATTTACGACCGGTACAGATAAACTTGTAGCTTAGCCAAGAAAATAATTCACATTTTCTGTTTCTCATTCTGGGTCTCTTCACACTGTTTATCCTAGATTCTCTTTCGGTGTACATGATTTGCTTTGTTTTTCTGTCTGATAGGTTTTGCGTAAGGGAAGGCCTTCTCTAAATTTCCCTAATTTAAATAGCTTTTAAAGGCTAGAGAAACATTTGGAAACTAATGAACCTTCTATATGTCCAACAGCTGTGTATGTGCTCTGTGGTCTTCTCAGGAATGTATTTTGGCAACTTGGGAGCAATTGCGGTGGGGCTGAGGAATCCTTTGAGCAGATGTCTTTGAAGAAATGGGAAAGAGCAAAGAGATTCAAAATTGCAAATCAATGCATGTTTTTAAGGTAGAAATAATGGTTATCCTAGGTTTCTCTCTTTTCCATACTTCTTTATATTTTGCTAAATAATCTTGCCCCTCCCACCATGAATTTTGACAGTGTGATTCCAGGTCTTGGCTGGGGCTGGGGGCATGGCGAAGGAGTACCTGAAAAGGAAGAAAAGGACGTGTTAGTCTTGGCAAACAGCCACTGCTGACTCAGTGGTCATGAAGTCACAATCTTTAGGTATTTTTCCAGAGTTCAGGAGGCAGACACAAATCACCTCTGTCTTACAAGACCTCTCATTCTGGCTGACTGGATGAAGCCAGTCATGGAAGGTCAAACTAGTTCTAGAGTTCTATTCTTGGCCAGGGGCTACACACAAGTATCTCTAGTCCTTCTTCAGAGAGAGAGAGAGAGAGAGAGAGAGAGAGAGAGAGAGAGAGAGAGAGACTGCAAAGCAGGTAGCCATGATGGAGTCATCAAGAGGAGGGCAGAAACGACTGTCACTTAAACATGTATATGTATTTTTAAATAAACTATTTGTTTTGAGCTCAAAAACTACCCACAGAAACTGAAACCAGAATGGAAGATTCCATCCGCAATCCATCTCTTGGCAGCCAGACCCTTGACACACAGGAAATGAAATACAAATAGAGCCAAATGCAGTGTTTGGGCTGTTTGCTCCAGCAGACCTCTGCTTAGAGATCTATGGAAAATCTCTGGGCCACCCTGAGAAGTAAAGTGGTTGAATTATGCTGACACCCAAAAATGGCACGCATTGCAAACAAGTAGTTCATGACTTTTACAAATATAAGGAAAGTTCTCTTCATCTGCATTCACTTTCAGAGGAGTTGAAAGGGTTGGAAAAGGCCAGTGTTTGACTTTGGGGGCAGAGAAATTTTTCTTTTCCCAAGTTCCTTCAGAGAATTCTTCACCACTTCCTGTTTTAATGTGTTTTTTTTTTCTATTTTATTGACAGCAGTAAAACATCCTGTCAGACTGTGGTAGTCCTTTTCATTAGAGGGTCTTGAAGCAAGGTGGTGCTTAATTAAGGGCCCAGTCAGAGGTCCAGGGTGGTGGCCGCCAGGCCCAAGCAGGAACAAAGCAAATCTGCCCAATAATTTAGAACATGAAGGGAAGTTCTGTGGATTCCCCCTGAGAACACGATTACTGCCTCTGTCCTAGGCGGGAGAGGCCACACAGGTGTGGGGACCTGTGGTGACAGAACTCAGGAAGGGAGGCGACCATCCGGCTTCCCCTTCCCTGGGAACCGGGGAACTGCCTCCTGGCAGCAGGAGCTCAGCTGGGCTGCTGGGGTGTGAATGTCAGACCGAAAGGGCAGTCGTGGTCCAGGAAGAGGGTGGGCGGCAGGGAAGGATGTCTCTGGAACCAAACGTGGGGCCTGCATAGCCACTGTGTAGCCTGAGCACGGGAGATCTCTGTCTAGAGAAGTCCCCGGGGCACATGCCCACATGCCCTTCTGTCAGGGTGCTTGCTCTTGCAGCCAGGGTGGTTACTGCCCTTTTGCCCTTCCTGCTCACTTCCCCTCCAGTATGTCCCCTCCTCAGTTGGGCCTGCCTGCAGAGACTTGGTTTCATTCTTGCTGGGAACTCAGCTCCAGACTGGGGGTCAGGTCAGAAACCTGGTTCTTACATGGTACCTTAAGAGGGGTGGAGTTCGAAAAACAAGAATTGGGTGTTGTTCCTCAGGACCCGGAGCCTGTGGGCTGGGAGATGAGATCTGGGGCCCAGAAAGGAGGGAGTCGGGGCGCGAAGGCAGCGTGGGGAGCGGGAGTCCAGCCCTTCCCACTATTCCCACTGCTCCACCGGGGCAGGCACAGATGTGGCTGGGAACCAGATGTCAGCACAATCTAAGGAAGCACTTTCTGGCTCAGAGTGATTCAAATATGAAATAAACAGGGTTGGGAGTGAAGGCCGAGCTTCCGGCCATGGTGGTCATTAGGGAAAACGTAGACTCGTCAAATGGGGGGACTGAGGTCCTTTCCACTCCTAGTGAGTTATAAATCCACAGGGGCTGCCTGCTGGAGGTGGCAGCCTGGGTAGACAGGTTTGCTGTGCTTGTCGTGGAAAAGGTGATGCAACTGGGAAAGGGTGGAGGGAGAAAGCTGGTGCTGAGGAGTTAGCTAGGCACCGGGAGAGGAGGAGAGGGGGGTATGCGGCTGCCATAGCCACAGAACAACAGAAAGTTCTGTAAACCCAAAGTCAAGGTGAGTCAGCAAAGTGGCTCCTTCCGGGAGCTCTGATGGGGAATCTATTCCGGGCCTTTCCAACTATGAGCCACCCCAAGAGATCCTTGGCTTCTAGAGGCATCACTAAAATCCTGTCTTCACACGGTGCTTCTTGTAGGCCCACCCCCTACCTCCTACCCCCATATAAATTCATATTTATAATGGTCCTATCTCCAAATAAAGTTACACTCTGCAGATCCAGGTGAGAAATTGGTTTTGATTGAGGGCCACACTGGGCAGTGCTCAGAGTTTATTACTGACTCTTTTCTCAGGAATCATTCCTGACTGTGCTCGAGAACCATATGTGGTGCTGGGGATTGAACTGGGGTTGACAAGTGCCCTACCCACTGTACTATCTCTCTGGCCCCTTAGTGAGGATTTTTACCTCCTTTGTGGGGGAACACAATTCCGTCTGCATCAGACAGCAATTTACTGATTCCCCCTTTTCCCATATATGCAAGTCTGAGGCTGCCACTACACAAAGAAAGGCCAGGTGGCCCTGAGCAGACACCACTCCCTCTGCTGGCCCTTGTTTGTCTACAATCACAAATCAGCTCCAGGGCTTCACTCTGCCCTGAACTCCCTCTCTTAACAGCCACAGCATGGCCCTTCCCCTTCAGCCAGGACATAGCTTGACCCCCCTAGACACTCAAATCGGTCTTAAGTGAAGTCCTGAGATCTTTCACTCATGTGGAGATACAGGATTACTTAGGGGATGTGTGTGGAGGGGAGGGGGGGCGGGCTGCACATGTGTGCCTGTGTGTGTTGAGGGTTTTGATATTTTTTTCTCCATTAGGTTTCCTCTCAAAACCCTCTGTGCAGCCCCCCGGGACTTCAGGCCTATTTCACTCAGCATTGCGCAGTTATGTACCTTCAGTAAAGGCCCTGAGAATACTTTGGGGATGACCAGGTAAACCATAATTCTAGGAACCTCTGCCACAATACCTTCCATGGGTTTTATCAACATACTAGAGGAATACGGTAAAATGGGAAAGTTCCATCCTGGAAGCCAGAAATCTCCAGTTCTAAGGCCACATGCTTTGGGTGGGCTGTAGTCAGTGATGGTCCAGTCACTGCCTCTCTCTATCGTCGTTGGGCTTCTCCAACAAGAAAAGCAAGCCTGGTTTTATGTTCTTATTCTGATATCATAAAAAATAGTCTATCTTCTATGATTTCACAATGGAGGTCTTTCATTCTGTTACTCTTACCCGATTTTATCCTAAAAAAAATAAAAGCACCTAAATCTGGGGCGGGGAGGGGGAGAGAAGGCTCAAGACGCGTATCGTTTCTCTGAAAGCCAGTGAACAGCTTTTTCAGGGATGACGTCCCCTGGGAGCCAGTTTTCCCAGCTATCAAATATAGAAAGAACCGCGCGGCCCTAATAAGGAGACGGGCGTGCGGGCGCCCGTCGAGAGCCACAAGTGGGCAGCGGGGCGAGTGCAGGGGAAAAGCGTTTTGAAGGTGCCCTTAAATAGCTCCGGGAGCCCTGAGCCCGGGCCGGCGCGGCGGGGGCGGGGCCTCCGCGAGGGCTGGGCGCGGTGGGGGCGGGGCCTCCGCGAGGGCCGGGCGCAGTGGGGGCGGGGCCTCCGCGAGGGCCGGGCGCGGTGGGGGCGGGGCCTCCGGGAGGGCCGGGCGCGGCGGGGGCGGGGGCGGGGCCGGGAGGTAGGCTCGGTTCTCGCCCCGCCCCCGCCCCTCCCTAAATATCGCGAGAGGGCGGGCCCGGCCGGCCGGAGCGTCGGCGTCGCTCCCGCGCGGGCGGCACTAGGCCGGCTTCTCGTCAGGGGTCCGGGGCGCGCGCAGGGCCGCCGGGTCGCGCGGCGTGGCGGCTCCGGCGTCGGCGGGGGGGCGTTGTGTCGTGACAAGGACGCCGGCGGCCGTGTCGGCGACAGCGGGTGTGCAGCCGCGGCGGCCCCGAGCGGGCTCGGGCGGCCGGCCGGCGAGGCGAGGCGAGGCGGCAGGCGGCTGCTCGCGCGCACCCTTCTCCTCGGCGGACCCGGCACCCAGCCGCGACGCTGAGCCAACCGCCGGAGCGGCGGGCAATGGCGGCCTCGACGGCCTCGCACCGGCCCATCAAGGGGATCTTGAAGAACAAGAGCTCCGGCACGGCGCCCCCGGTGGTGGGCTCGGCCGAGCAGCCCGGCAGGAGCGTGGACGAAGAGCTGAGGTGAGCGCGCCGACCTCGGGCGCCGGGGGGCCGTGGCGTGGCCGTCTCTCTCTCTCTCTTTCTCCCTTCCGTGGAAACTCTCCGGGTCGCGCCGGAGGAACCGGCCGCCCCGAGCTTTGGACTCTCTGCGGCCGGGGGTGGGGGGGACCGTTGGAGAAGCCGAAGGAAGTTTCCCGGCGCTCCCCCGCCCCGCCCCGCCCCGGGAAGCGTGTTCCCCAGCTTTCAGCCCCGTCCTTGCAGCCCTTCCGTCGTTTGTGTGTGTCCTCGGAGCCCCTGAAAGACCCCTGCGGGCTCAAGCGCGGGGAGCTCGGAGCAGGGAAAAAGAGACAGAGACAGAGCGCGCCTCTTCCTCTCCCCAGTCCACCTAGCAGCCGCTCCTAGCCCGCGTGACCCCGAGGAGCCGAGCATCCTTGGCGGCCCCCCACCCCCACCCCCGGCTCTGCACGCGAAGGTCCATTAATGAGGACTGGTGAAATATTAATCATGGTGCATTTGTATCCGGGAATAATAGACCCGGGCCCGAAGTAAAGAATGAGATGAGCCTTCATCTCGGTGGTGATGGTGGTGGGGAGAGGGATGATAATTGCAGCTTACATATATATATAGTGTGTCAAAACATTCCCCGGGTGCTGTCAAGACACCCAGACAGAGAAAGCCAAGTTCAGGAAGTAAGACTTAAGCAGAGCGGCTTAAATCTGCGAAGTCAGAAAACTTGAATGAGGATGTGCCCGGGAGCTTGGGATTTGGGACTCGCGAAGCGGCTGGCACCTGTTTAAAAGGGCAGCAGTCGCTCGGGGCCCAGAGGAACGGAACGTGGAGTGGTGAGTGCACGGGGGCGCCTGTCGCCCCAGAGCCTTAAGTCGGGTTTGGAATCGAGGCCCCGGGGGCCGAGAAGGACCTTGTTTTGTTTTGTCCTGCGGCCTCCACCGGACTCATCTGGCTTTGGACGCCCAGCTCTCTCCAACACCACAGTTTCCCACCTCTGTTTGGGGCAAACTGCTGGTAAATAGGATCGGGGGTGGGTATTGTGGGGGACGATGATGTTTTGTGGGTCATGGGATTCAGGAGAACCGCTTGTACCAGTCTCATTAGAAGAGAGCGCGAGTGTAACCAAGATACTTTTTAATTTTTTTAATTCTGCTTTTGGTTTTGGGGTCACACCCAGCGATGCTCAGAGGGAACTCCTGGCTGGGATCTCTCCTGGCAGTGCCAGGGGACTATATGGGGTCCTGGGGATGGAACCTGGGTGGGCAATGTGCAAGGCCCACTGTACTATCTCTCCATCCATGCCCCCCCCCATAGATTTTAATTGTTTCTTTTTTAACCCCACTCCACGCCCTCTTCCCCAGGATACTTTTTTAAAACAACAGAAAACCACAAAAGGCTCTAATACAGGCAGGATGGATGATATCCACTGATCTAGCTAGTCCTCCGAGGGAACTGTTTGCAGTGGGACTGTGAAATGGGAGCATTTCCCTTTCTTTGCCTGCTTTCTTTTTCTCAACTTGGATCTTTTCTTACCTCTGGCCCCATTCTATGGACAGGCCTTTGTTACTGGACGTGGGGCTTTCCCTCCTGCCTTCTGCCTGGAAAGCCACATAGGACTGCTGCCTGCACTGGAGCTGCCAGCCAACTGGTCTTGTTTAGAGGATTAGAGTCCTGTCCTCAAAAGGAACTGCCAAGCCCCAATTTATTTATTTATTTGTTTATTAATTATTAAATCACTGTGAGATACAGTTGCGAAACTTTCATGTTTGAGTTTCAGTCATACAACGATCAAACACCTATCCTTCCACCAGTGCACATTTTCCACCACCAATGTCCCCAGTACACCTCCCCTTCCAACCCTCCCCCTATCTCTGGCAGTTTCCTCCATACTCTCTCTACATTTGGGCATTATGGTTTGCAATACAGATACTGAGAGGCCATCACATTTGGTCCTTTATCTACTTTCAGCACACATCTCCCATCCCGACTAATTCCTCCAACCATCATTGACTTAGTGATCCCTTCTCTATTCCAGCTGCCTTCTCCCCCAGCTCTGGGCTTCCATCTATGGAGCAATATTACTGTCCCTTGTGTCTACTGTCCTTGGGTGTCAGTCTCATGTTATTTTTATATTTCACAAATGAATCCAAGCCCCAGTTTATAATGAGGTTCATGATATTCAGCTTCATGTAGCTTTTTCACAATCTATGTTATATGACTGTAAAGCAAAGTAACTTGTACCAGTAATATAATTCATTAGTTGCCCCCTATTTACTCTTTTCACTTATCGTGGTTTTAATTATCTTGCGGTCAATTTTAGTCCTAAATATTGACCTACAATAACATTCTAAAAGCAAGACAACAATCATTTATTGCAGTATATTCTTATAATTGTTCTGTTTTTATTTTAGTTTTTATTTGAGTTTCAGTCATAGAGTGATCAAACACCCATCCTTCCAGTGTTATTTATCTTTGATTTGAGGAACCACACAGGGCAGTGCTTAGGATGTACTCCCGGGTCAGTGCTTAGGGGTTGCCCACCCCTGACAGTGCTTAGGGACAGTGCCAGGGATCGAGCCCAGGCATCTCAGTTCTTTGAGCTATCTCTCCTTTATTGTTCTTAAATCTCTTGCTATGCTTAATATATAAATTGATCTTTCTCATAAATGTTTTTCTACTTACACAATAGAAAAAACAGGGTTCAGTGATATTTGTGCTTTGAGGACATCCCCTGGGGGCCTGGAACTCTATGTGGGTAAGCCCACTGTTTATGTCACATCTCGTGCAGACAATATTTCATGGGTCTTTATACAGAAATAATAGTTGAACATATTGAAACAAACCTTTTGTAATGTTCAGTTTATTTAGTATTCTCTCTTTAATATAAAGAGAACAAAATAAATAGCCTTTTTTGATTACAGTGTACTTCAAGTTCAGAAACTAATCAAACTTTAAATGTTGAAACAGTATGAGACAAAAGAATCTCATGTTATCTGAAAAAAACCAAGAATCTAAATCAATCCTCATTATTCTCAATTGTTATGTTTTGTATGTAATATGTTTTATAGAGTCACTGCAAATACTAAATTAAGTGAATACTGACTTACTGCTTCAAGGGGAAATAGAGTTCCTTTAAGCTTTAGATCATAACATTTTCATCAATCAGTCCATAACCTTGTTTTGATTCTGATTCTGCTATATTTTATATTTGCTCTGCAGAGCAAATATAAACTGGCTTTAGTACTATAGTAAATTATGATACCTCAATAAAAATATACTTTTAATATAAAAATGTCTAAATAATATTTAAATGTAGCCGATAGCACAGTAAACACCTGACTGAAATTTATAAAACACTTTTTTTTTACTCTTAAGATATGTCACAGCTTTCTTATATATAGGAACACTATATAGTTCTTGAACACTACAACTAGGAGTCATTTAAATCAATGATTTCACTAACAAGCAAATATGTAGTGCCAAGTAGACATTTATTTACAGTCACCTATTTAACTTTCTCTGGGAACATATTTGTTGGACAGCTCATAAGTTTTCCTAGCTACGCACATGTCTCAAAGAGTAAGAAAATACCTTTAGTGTAAATCATGGAGTCACCAATAACTTTTTGTAAGTAGGCAAATTTGCAAAATACCTTCATTGTTGTCCTTAGCAAATAAAACGCCATGACCTATTTCTTTTTTTCTGCACATACCACTTTCACCTTATCAGACCAGAAGAGGACATTATTTAACATTTCACTTAACATAAAAGGTTGTTACTAAGCTGGGGAGACAACTCAGAGGGCCGAAGCCCATTACCCATACTTGGCATGCAGGAGCCCCAAGTTTGTTCTGGGAGTGAGCACTTTGGGGGTGTGACCCAAAATCTAGCAGGGGAGGGAGCTGCAGACGTTGAATTATTTTATTCTACATGTCCTCTTTTTGATTGTGTAATCTTCATTACAACGAATTAGAATAGCCTTCTAATATATAGTTCATATATGTGGTATATATATATATATTACAAAGCTAGTATACACTTAAAGTGAAGTTTATTTAATGTCTTACTTCATATAGTTCTAGAATGTTTTATTACTAACAAACCATCATTTTTTTGACATTTCAATGTTCTTTTTTAAAGTTGTCTTTTTGTACTGATATTTAGTGAATGGTTTTTTCAAGGTGTTTTTTCTTTTCTTTTTTTTTAAGGTTCTTTTAGTTAAATCCATATTTAGGCATAGAGAAATTTGCATTGAAACACGTTGTTCAACCAGTTAAAACACCACAGACGTCATCTTTGATTATGGAATTCTTAATCTTTCAGGATATCTTAATTATAGTGTATAACTCATGAAGGTCTAATAAAACAGATCTATTGAGTAGATATGGTTCATCAAAACAAAAATAACGTTGATTTTATGATGTAATTCCATTCAAGATACATTGTTCTTCCAGAAATACTAAAATGAGCAAAATGTGCATTTGTCAGTGTTAAGAATATAACATTAAATGCTGTTGAGGCCTGGTTAATAAGAAGGTTAGAGTTTAATATGGGACTAGAATTAATCTGGATTCAGGTCCTTTCTGTTACTGCTTACACTTCCTTTGAGTTGATTATTATATCTATACCTGGTTTAATTATTAAAGGGGTTAATATAATGTTGAGGTTGAGGATTATGATTCACATAGTAAAGCATATGTCGTGCATGTGCAAGGCACTAGGTTTGACATTCCCCACCCAACTAGTAGGTGGCTCCAGGCCAAGGAACACTGCTGGATTTGTCCTCCAGTACAATAAAAAATAGTAAATATAAAATATTTAACTCAGTGCCTCACCTTTCATTGTTAGTCTTTTTCTAGAAAAATAAACATGGAGATTAATATTTACATATCTCGATGGGTTAATTTATGTAATGTAGTATTGTCAGTATGTCCAAGTTATATAATACAGTGTTCTTCTACCTTTTTATACCTGCAGACTAGCACCTGTCCTGCATACCATGCCAGTCCATAAACCAGTACTACAACCGAGGCAGTTAACTAGTGGTTTTCAGCCTTTCTACACCTAATTGGCACCTTTCCATAGACTGGAGGTTTATAACCACTGATAAAATAGACTTAGGAAATGTAGGCAATTCTGTTTGTTGGGGAAAACGAATGTGCTTGAAAATCAGCCAGCTCCAAGGGCTTGGGAAAAAAACATATTGGACCAGAGGTATGTCCACCTCATCCATCCCCTCAAAATTTATAATTTCATTTTCTTTGGTATGATTTCTCTGTTTTTGTTTTTGTTTTGATTTTGTGTTCCCTGGGTTACTCCTGGCTCTTCACTCAGAAATCACTCCTGGCAGTGCTCAGGGAGCATATGGGATGCCGGGCATTCAACCTACATCTGCCGGGTGCAAGCAAACATCCTATCTATCTCTCCGGCCCCTCTCTGGTGTAATTTCATATAAGAATGCTTCAACTTTGTCACTTTCTACCTATGAAGGGATATAAATATAGTCAAAAATTCACTAGGTAAAGTCTTGTGAAGTGACTTTGATTACTAATTGCTTGCATTGGTTAAGCCTTCTTTTATTTGTTCATGTCAGACTTCAAAATCTCCTATTTTATCAACCTACATAAGCTAAATCTTCATTTAGAGAAAAAACTATTTCTTGAAATGTGCAATTAAAGTTTAACAGCCTGAAGCAAAACCCTGCTTCCCACTCCATACTAAAACTATTAAATGAGCAATTCATAGCAATAAGTAGCAGTAGTTCTTTGAGATAGCATCATAGGAGCTGTCAAGATGGAAATGAGAAGTGGTAACTTAGGGACTAGATTTAGACTGCAGGGAAAGCACCGGTCACCCAGTATAGGAGGAAGAGGGGAGTGAGGACTGAAACCGGGCCATTGTCATGCTTTTGCCTCCCAGCATATCTGCCAGATAAATGTTGGTGCCATCTATTTCTTGCCAAGATAATAACCCAAAGAATGATCACAGTTTGTGATGGTGTTGGCTAAAATTCAGGTTTGTTCATTAGTTTTTTTCCTCCATAGTTGTGGTTAATTCTGCAAACACTTTTATATAAAGATACTAATATCCTTATCAAGTATCCTCTGCAGCCTGTATTGCAAACCATAATGTACAAAAGGAAAAGGAGAGAGAGAGCAAGAAGGAAAGTGCCTCCCATAGAGGGTGGCTAGGAATGAGGGGTGGGCAATTGGAGGATTGTGGTAGGGAAACGGGACATTAGTGCTAGGAAATGTACACTGGTAGAGGGATGGGTGCTGGGTCATTGTTTATAACTGAAACCCAGTTATAAACAACTTTGTAGTGGTGTATCCCACAGATATCCAATTTTTAAAAAAAAATGTAATGTGGAGTTCATGCCCAATTCAGTGAGCTTAATCAATAACTGAATAAATAGCAGTACTCCTACATTTAAAAATAAAGGGGGTATCCTCTGCTGACAGCTCTACTTCATGACTTTCCTCTAAAATGCCTAGATTCTTTGGAACCTCTTGTTTCATGCCCTTATGTAAAGCCACATTTTTTGTAAGATACTACCTTCTCTGAACCAGAGTAATTCTAAAGATTTTTTTTTCTATTAATGGTGTGTTAAGGAAATGAAGTGAAACTTTGAATAGATAAAACTTTAAAATCTCTCTGTTGAGGGGGCTAGAGCAATAGCACAACGGGTAGGGCGTTTGCCTTGCACATTGCCGACCCGGGTTTGATTCCCAGCATCTCATATGGTCCCCTGAGCACCGCCAGGAGTGATTCCTGAGTGCAGACCCAGGAGTAACCCCTGTGCAACGCCGGGTGTGACCCAAAAAACAAACAAAAAAAAAATCTCTCTTTTGAGGGGACCGGGGGGACCATACCTTGCAGTGGTCAGGGCTTATTCCTGACAGACTCGGGGGACCATATGGGGTGCTGAGGATCGAACTCCAGGGAAAGCACCCTAAACTTTTCTGGCTTCTTTAAATCTTTTTAGATAAGTGGGAAATAAGTGTTAGATTAATTAGGAAAAGTTGGGGGTTATTTATAATGTGATTTATAACTTATTTTTATACCTTTTGTTATATAGAATGGACTTTAAATCTCCAATAAATTTAAGTTCTTTATGTTAACTAACTCTCAGGTTCTGTTTTAAGTGTTTTAAGTTTCATTTGGGGATAAAAACAAAGCAACAACAAGACTTCGGGCTGGAACAATGATGCAGCAGGTAGGGCTCTTTATTTTAGCCACGTGCAGCCCAGGTTGTATGATTGTGGCTTCCCATATGTTCCCTGTAGCACCGCTAGAAATGATCCCTGAGTGAAGAACCTGGAGTAAGACCTTAGTATTGCTGGGTGTGGCCCACAAACAACAACAACAAAAAACTTTAGTTTTAGTACTAGAGATCAATCCAGTCGTTCCGTACACATGCAAGGCAAGTGCTTTGTTGCTGACTACATCCCCAGCCCAGCACTTATTATTATTATTATTATTATTATTATTATTATTATTTTTATTTCTGGGTTTAGTGCCACACCGGGTAGTACTCAAGGCTTACTCCTGGTTTTGCGCTCAGGGATTTGGGCCATATGGGATGCCAGGAATCGAACCCAGGTCAGTTTCATGCAAGACAAACACCCTACTACTGTACTCTCTTTCTGGCTCCCATTTATTTGTTTTTAGTTATGGTACTAGATATAAAACTCCCAGACTTCAGAAATGTGAGGCAATTTCTTTTTTCATTGAACCATATTTCTGACCAAAACAACTTTTAAATACCAATTTATACCAGCTCCAGAGTAAAATACACACAAATATAAATTCTGGCAAAATTTCAGTAATTATTGAGACACATACAGTTCTCTCTTTTTTTTAATTTTTTGGGTTTTTTTGTTATTTTATTTTGTCTTGGGGTTACACTTGCAGTGCTAAGGGATCACTTCTGGCAGTGCTGGGGGACCATGTGTGGTGCTGGGGATGGAACCTTTTACTGCATGCAAGGCACTGCCCTACCCACTATATTATCTCTCTGTCCCCACAAAGGGACAGAGAATTACTTAAGATCTGATGATTCGTGTCTTTATTTTTAGGTTCTGAAAAGAACTTTTAAGATCTTGACTTTTCATGGTGATAAGACATACAACAACTTCTAATTGCTTGCGGTGGTGTTGAAAGGGCTGGGGATCCTGTAGTGGGTGTTGAAGTCCAGTTACCTCTGTCGTATATTTGCGTCAACCTTTGCCTCTTGATAAACAATAGATATATTAGAAAGCAGCTTGTTGCCAGGAGTACTGCAGTGGAATATTATTTAACTTTAAAACAGAAACTCTACACAACTCAGCATAGCTGAGTCTGGAAGGCATTAAGTGAAATAAGCTAGTCACAAAGAACAAATACGGTATTGAGTCTTGTTATGTAAGGTACCTCCCTAGAGCAATCAGATTCACAGAAATTGGAATGGTGATTGTGAGAGGCTGGGGAAGGCAGACTGGAAGTGAACCTTCAATTGATACAGTTTTAGGTAGGGAAGATGAACAAGTTTTACAGACAGATGGTGGTGGTAGTCGTATAGCAGTGTGAGTGTACTCAATGCCACAGAACTATACGTTTTTGATGGTTAAAATTGTGAACTCTATATGCACGTTTTAACCATAGTAAAATTATGAAAAGGGGGCCAGAGAGATAGTACAGTGGGTAATATGCTTGCCCTGTACTCAGCCACCCCAGATTTGATCCCTGGTACCACATATGGTTCCAAAATCCCCTCCCCCCAACCCCCCCAAAAAAAAGGGCGAAGAGAGTGCTTTTGTGACATTGTGGATCCTTTTGTATAGAAAACATAAGAAAAAGTGAATGTGAAATAGTAGTTTTGGGCTAGAGAGATAGTTCAAAGGGCTGGAGTTCTGTGCCACAGGCCCAGGTTCTCTAACTCCCATAGGTCCTCATAGTGCCTTGCTGAGAGTGGTCCCCAAGTACCAAGGTGTGTGACTTAAAAAAATCTCAGGAACACAAAAATAATGTTAGCAGTCATATGGAATTTGAAATGTGGGATTTAAATATTGTGAATGTTTAAATGTACTTTTTTTTTAACAGTAAAAAATCTCAGAAATGGGATGAAATGAACATCCTGGCAACATATCATCCCGCAGACAAAGACTATGGTTTAATGAAAATAGATGAACCTAGCACTCCTTACCACAGGTAATGTAGTGTAGACTTCACTCCTTTTTTGGCTTGTTTTCATTTTATATTTGATATGACCTTTGGATAATACATTGTTTGGATTTGTGTTTGATTTTACATTTGTTATTAGAGCACTAATTTATACTCTGTGCCTATATTACTATAATAAGACTTTGAAATTATGGAATCTATTTTATACACTATAATAATAGTTATAGAAAATGTTGATTTGTTGCACCAATTGGTTCTGACTGCTAATTTTGCTCACAGGTGAATTACTTTTGCCTTCCTTAATCTCTTTATAAACTGAGAGATGAGAATTGGATTTATTTACTTCTAAATAGAAGTCAGGTGTAGGGCTGGAGAGACAGTACAGAATTAAGGCACTTCTATGTGACTGACCCAGGTCAGTCCCACAGACAGTCTCCTGAGCAACTCCAGGAGTGATCCCTAAGTACTGCCAAGTATGCCCCATTGCTCTTGGGTTTCTCTCTCCCCCCAAAATTGAGGGCATTTCCTAGTCTCTTTGCTGCTAAAAAAAAGAATGACTTCATAGATAGAAACTTTTTTATCTACAGAAAGAAAGCTGGAGTTCATACCTGGTGTGCATCAGGCCCCAGATTCTACCCCTACAGCACTGAGTGCTTCCTCTTTTCTGGCACCATCTGGTAGATGCTCACTCTGAGGAACTCTGTGTGTGACGTATAGCACAGAGCAGGGTGACATCTGACCAAGCGATGAAACTGTCTGGCAATACACTGCCCTCCCAGAAAAGCTGGGAGTGAACCCCTGGGATCTGGTGTCACTAGAGAAGGCTGTCCCCCCATTCCCCCCAAAAGACAAGTCATTAACTACTCTTTATCATTCCTATTTTTCGTTTTACATAATGTTATCGAGATCATTGTCCTATGACTGTTGACAGTTTTGAGTCTTAAAAAATTGTAAGGAATTGTAAAATGACATTGTATGTGACAGTATTTAGTATGAAGACAAGGGATACACCAGTGAGCATTATGAGAAGAAGTTTATAAGTAAAATACTTCATTCAGATCATGCCTTAGCTTAAATCGAAAAAATAGAGCTTACCAGCGCTGAAATATTTTGTCTTTGAAAGCCACATACATTGAAACATTGATGTTTTTGAGAGTTTAAATATTCTGTTTTAAATTAGTGGGTGAAAATTTTGCAAGTTTTGTCTAGAGATACCTTGATAACAATAAAAACAAGAATTGACATTGAGGTTATGACAGGGATAGGAAGAAAGAGTAACATAGGGGATTAAGAAACTGAAACTTAGAGCTAACAAAGCTTTGGATCAAAATTAGATGTTATTTATGAAAACTTTGTTTTCTTGGGACTGGGGATGTGGGTAGGACACATGTTTTACGTGTGTGCGATTCTGGTTTGATTACCAGATTACCAGCACTACAAAAACAAGAGTTTTTATTCTTGGGGTACAATACAGCCAGTAAGGTGTTCCTTGTACTCGAGCTTGATCCCCAGCATCCCATCTAGTCTCTCAAGCTCTGCCAGGAATGATTCCTGAGTGCAGATCCGGGAGTATGCCCTGAGCACCACTGGTGTGGACTTTAAAGAAACAAACACAAAACAAACACTGTCCTCCCGTTGTTCATCAGTTTGCTCGAGCGGGCCCAGTAACGTCTCCATTCTGAGACTTGTTGTTACTGTGTTTGGCATATTGAATACTCTCGGTAGCTTGCCGGGCTCTCCAAGAGGGGCGGAGGAATCGAACCCGGCTCGGCCAGGCTGGCTGCATGCAAGGCAAATGCCCTATCGCTGTGCTATAAAGAAAAGGGGAAAAAAAGTTTTTGCATAGCAAAAGCATGCATCAAATAAAATGCCCATTTTGTGGTGAAGTAGGGAGAGCCACATTTTAATTTAAGACTAATTTGTGAAAGCTTTAAAATTTTCTGGATTAAGTCTTTAGGGTCTAATTTTGTTATTTTATTTAACTCTATGTCTGCATAAGATTATTTGTCTCTACGCAGGTTAATAGACAAATATATATTGTAAAAGCAAGCAGTTCTAAGGTTTTGTTTTTGTTTTTGTTTTTTTGCGTTGTTTCTTTCCTTTATGGATAAAATTTTCATGGTTGCATTAGTATTGTGAAGTCATTTAGAAGTGCTATACTTTAGAATATTTGACAGCAGAGCTCTAAGTATGTTGATATCTTTGTTCTAGCATGGTAGGAGATGATGATGATGCATTGAGTGATTCAGAAACCAATGAAGCCATAGCCCCAGCTCTCTTAGCTAAAAAGTAAGTACTGATAACTACAAAGCACTTACAGTTTTTATTTGTACAGAGATAGATCCCTTTTACAAGTGTAAATAAGTGAGATATTGTTAAGTTTACCTGTATTTTTCATATCAACTTTTGAATAGTCTTTTTCTAGATTAAAACCACAATATGTCAGCACTCAATAAAACAAAAACTCTTCCTCTACTATTCATTTATTTCTGTTGCATCTCGCTACTTCTTTGTTTCTACAACTGTTTCTCACCAGGCTTTAGCTAGTCTATTTATGATCTTCAGATGTTTTTGTGAGACTTGAAAGTTGAATACGATACTCAACTAATTTAAGAATGTCACAGTGTTGATTCCTTTGTGAATACGATACTCAACTAATTTAAGAATGTCACAGTGTTGATTCCTTTGTAAATGATTATTATACAGACTAGCTGCTGCTGAAGGCTCTGAGTTAAAGTATCGAGTTCATGACCAAGAAAGCAGTGAAGATGAGGATAATGACCTCTCACCTGAAGAACAAGGTAGTTTATTTTCTTTCCTGCTTTTCAGTATTATGCTAATAACTTTTGCTAAAAAATTTACTATTTGGATGGTTTTCAAGAGATTTTTTTTTGAAAAAATATATGGTGGAGAGATTAAGAAGCAACAACAGGTTTGTTATATAATGTCTTTTTCCCTCCTGATATCAAAAATTTGGGGAAATGTTACCATCTTTAATATAATTATGTGTTCCTTTGTACTTCAGTGTCTGGCATTGAGTAGAAGCCCAGTAAACATTTGAACTGATATAAATAAATCAAATAAAAGAACTGATAATTTAGTCACTGAGCCATAAGCGTTCATTTCCCTGTGATTGTTAAGACAGTGGTGAAACCAAGAGTAGAATGAAAATCTTTATTGAGCAAAAAGAACAGTACTGTCTTAGGAAAGGAGAGAGAATCTTTAGTAGGTCTGGAGAGGCTCTGAGAGCTCACACCACCCAGGGAGGAAGCATTGCAAAAGCTTTCTGATTTCTGTTTTACAACTGGCAGTGGTTATCTTGTGAAGGTAAAAGGAAAACTTTCCTCCTTGTTACTTTTCATACTTTTGAACCATGTGAATGTATGATCTTCTCAAGAAAGAAATTGCTCGTATGTTTTTTGCTCTTTATTGATTTATTTGCTGAAGGCAATGCCCTCGAGACCATGTGGTGCTGGGGATCAACCACTCACCTGGCCCAGTTTTCAGTTCTCTTAAAAAGGAAAGGCAGCAAGTCTATGTATAGGTTAAATATCCATTCCCTCACCCCAAAAAGGAAAATAGTATATTTGAAGCCTTGAAACTTGGGAGTACCTCTACTGGAAAAAAATTCCAAAGTTTTAATTAAGGTTTTATATATTGGCTGTCAAGATCATTCGTATATGTAGCTATGGTCAGAGTATAACATAACTAAAATATGATAGTTTTAACCTAATTGTTAGACAAAAGAGAAATTTTACTTAGAACATAAGCTCAAACTGTTACGCCTACTTTCAGTTACTACCTGATTATTTTGCAAAAACATGCCTCCAAAGAACCTTGAAAATGTTTTCAATTCATCTTTCTTGAGCTTCATTAGTCTCTTAAAATGTGATCTGTTGACTGGAGAGATAGTATTATTGACGGTAAATGGGGGTAAAATACCTTGCAAACAGCCAACCCCACTTTGATCCCCGACACCACATCTAGTTTTCTGAGCACACTACTAGGGATCATTCCTAAGCACTGAACCAAGAGTAACCTTTGAATTTGTCGTCCCCACCAAAAAATAAATAACCGTGATTTGTTCAGAATGGAATTTTTTCCTCATACTTCTAAAATTATTTTGCAGTGTCTTAGTATAGCCTAAGTACTTAGTACATACTAAGTAGAAAAACAGGCCTACTAAGACTACTATTGTACCCTGTTTGTAGTGTGCCGTTTTTACCTGTTTATGAGGGTATATATTGCTGGGGGTTGGGGGGTTGTATTAATGCCTTTTATTTTTTCAGTAGGTAATTTCTATTTACTTCCAATTTCAGTTCTCTTGTGATTTAATGATTTTATTGAGGTAGTCTAATTTACAAGTTTCCATATTTTTAAAATTCTTGTAATTTTAATCATTCTTATTGAGCTACAACATTTACAGTACTGTTAATTTTTTCACCAGTATCTCCACTTCCCTCCACCAGTGTCCCAATGGTCCCTCCCAGGAACTCTTACCCCACCCTTGGGAAGCTGAGTTTTATAGACAAAAATTTCCAGTTCCAATGACTTTGACCATTTGTTGTTCCTTTACTGTGCTTCTTAGATCTCACATGCGAAAGAGACCATTTAAAAAGAAATTTTAGGGTCTGGAGTGATAGAACAGCGGGTTGGGCGTTTGCCTTGCACGCAGCTGACCCAGGTTCGATTCCCAGCATCCCATATGGTCCCCTGAGCATTGCTGGCTGTGACGCAAAAATAAATAAATAAAAAAATAAAATAAAAAGAAATTTTATTATGGGGGTGTTGACACCTGCACACTTACACATGAATAAAACGAAACTCCTGAAATTCCACAAAATTGTAAATCAGTGATAAGTTGATAAGAAAAGAAAAAAATTAATTATATATCTGAGGCCTGAGTGATAAATAATACATCAGGTAGGATGTTTGCCTTGCACACAGCCAACCTGGGTTTAACCTCCCCGGCACTCTTATAATGGTCCCACTAGCCCACCAGGAGTGATCCCTGCGTGCAGAGCAGGAGTAAGTCCTGAGCATTGTCGGGTATGGCCCCCAAACCAGAAACAACCTATATATTTGTTTTTACGGGTCTATAAATGTCTTAAATAGTATGAATAATTCTGTGGCAGAGCAATAGTACAACGGGTAGGGTATTAGCCTTGCACGTGGCCGACCCAGGTTCAATCCCCAGCATCTCGTATGGTCTTCCAGCACCACCAGGAATAATTCCTGAGTGCAGAACCAGGAGGAACCCCTGAGCATCGCCAGGTGTGACCCAAAAAGCAAAAAGCAAAAAAAAAAAAAAAAAGTATGAATAATTTTATTCTGATACATTTTAAACTTTACATTAAATACATTAATCCTGCAAATATACAATTTAGTAAGAGTTAGAAAAGGAGAGTCAAGGAATTTTAAGGGAAAATCTGAATAGGAACAGCGAATTTTTTACCAAGAGAATTTCCTCTGAAACTGTAATTCCAGGAGTTATCCAGCAGGGGGAACCATTTACTAATTAAATTTTATAAACTCCCATTAGTTTTATTGTTTGATTTATTGTTTGATTTGATATTGTTAGATTTATTGTTTGATTGAGTGAAGACTAGAAATCTTGATTATTGACAAAAATGCATAGGTAAAGTCTTGTAACTATTTTCTTAGAACGTAATTTTATAAGGGGCTGGAGAGATAGCCCTGCGGATAAGGCGTTTGCCTTGCACGCAGCCAACCTGGCCGACCCAGGTTGATTCCTCCACCCCTCTCGGAGAGCCCAGCAAGATACCGAGAGTATCTCGCCCACGCGGGAAAGCCTGGCAAGCTACCCATGACGTGTTGGATATGCCAAACACAGTAACAACAAGTCTCACAATGGAGACGTTACTGGTGCCCGCTCGAGCACCTGAAGAACCTGCCGTCAGTACTCATCAATACGCTGGCTCGGCTCTTCACACGCTACCTGTCTGAATGCAAGGTTCCATCCCACTGGAAAACCAGCAGGACTGTACTACTGTACAAGAAGGGAGACATCCACGACATTGGCAACTATCGCCCAATCTGCCTATGGTCTGTCATCTACAAGCTGTTCACTCGAGTCATCCTGAATCGAATTGGCAGAATACTAGATGAAGGACAACCATGCGAGCAAGCCGGGTTCCGCAAAGGATTCAGCACCATCGACCATATCCACACGATAACCAAGCTTATTGAGGTTTCTCAGGAGTTCAAGATGCTGCTCTGTCTAACGTTCATTGATTTAAAGAAGGCCTTTGATTCTGTTGAGACAGAAGCAGTCATTGAAGCCCTAGCCAATCAGGGCATTCAAGCCCAATACATCAGGATCCTCCGTGAGCTGTATTACGGATTCACTACCAGGATCTCACCATTCTACAAAGAAGAATGGTGATGTCAAGAGAGGGGTTCGGCAGGGTGACACCATTTCACCGAAACTCTCAGTGCCACCCTCGAGAACATCATGCGACGACTGGAATGGGAAAGAATGGGAGTGAAGATAGATGGTTGGCAACTATACCACCTCCGCTTTGCTGATGACATTGTTTTAATAACACCAAACATTAGCCAAGCGGCACAAATGCTGGCCGACTTCGACCATGAGTGTGGAAAGGTCGGACTATAGCTGAATCTCACAAAGATAATGTTTATGATAAATGGTCGCGTTCCTGTTGTTCCATTCACTCTCAATGGGATGAACATCTCCGAATGCAACAGTTATCTGTACCTAGGTCGAGAAGTCAACATGATGAATGACCTGGCACCTGAGTTGTGCAGGAGCGGCTACGAACGCCTTCAAGAGCATCAAAGAAATAGCTAAGAGGACGAAGAACCTCTGGCTCTGGGCACATCTCTTCGATTCCACTGTTCTTCCTGCATTAACATATGCCTCAGAGACCTGGGCCCTATGAAAACAGGATGAGAACGCTTTTGGGTCTCCCAAAGAGGAATTGAAAGAGCTATGCTTGGAGTATCACACTTCACTCAAATGAGAGAACGAATCCGGAGTTCCGACCTCCGTCGACGATCAAGAATCAGGGACGCTGTCTAGTTTGCCAAGGCATCAAAAATCAGATGGGCTGGACACGTAATGAGATTTGGAGACCACTGCTGGACTAGAGCTGTTACCGACTGGATTCTGCGGGATGTCAAAAGATGGCATGGCTGCCCACCTACCAGATGGTCAGACTTCTTCATTAAGACCCTGAACGATCAGTTTGAAGCTCTTCGTGTTCCTAGAACAAACATACGCCATTGGGCTACACTAGCACGCGACAGGGACAAATGGAGACGTTACTGGCGCCCGCTCGAGCAAATTGCCGAGTAGCGGGAAGTCAGGTGATCAAGTGATGTCTCTCTACCCCATGGGCCAAAAGTTTCAAAGGAAAATTACACCTTTTAATTTTTAATTTTACCTTTTTTAATTAATTTTTAATTATACCTTTTAATTTTGCAGGATGCTTTTCACACATTTTGATCTCAGTACCATACATGCTTATATAGAGTTATAAAAAAGAAAGCTCACAGAAAGTGATAAAGTTCACCTTTATCTATGGGATGCATTTCAGTTTCTTTATTTAGTTCTCTTTTTTCTTGGACTAGGAGCCTCCCAAGTGGTGCTCAGGATGCCCATGGTCCCTACTGAGGCTTCTCAGCCAGCAGGCTGGTGGTTCAGTAGGAGGCCCTAAGGATGCGATGATGATGATGACCGGCTCCTCTAGGGGACCTCTAGGGTCACATCTTGTGGTTCTTGGGGGCTTCAGAGTTGTACCCAGCAATGCTCAGGGTATGTGGCACCAGGGATGGCTATATTAATCCCTATACTGTCTCTCCAGTGCCCCCCCTTTTTTTTATTAAAAAATTTTTTAATAGTGAGACATCATGAGGTACGGTTGCAGACTTACACATTTTTGTGCTTGGGTTTCAATTATACAATGATCAAATACCCATCCCTCCACCAGTGCCCATTTCCTACCACCAAGGATCCCAGTATCCCTCCCACCCCCCCATCCCCCCATCCCACCCTGCCTCTGTGGCAGGGCATTCCCCTCTGTTCTCTCTCTCCTTTTGGTGTTGTGGTTTGCAAAAGAAACATTGAGTGGCAATCATGTTTGGTCTATAGTCTACTTTCAGCATGCTTCTCCCATCCTGGGAGGATCCTCCCAACACCTTTATTTGGTGTTCCCCTCTTTATCTGAGCTCTCTTTTCCCCTAGTATGTGTGGTTGGCCTCCAAGTCATGGAGTAAAGTTCCTAGTACTAATCTCGCCTTTCTTGGGTGTTAGTTTCCTATTTTGTTACTTTATGTTCCCCAGATGAAAGCAATCTTTCTATGTCTATCCCTTTCTTTCTGAGTCATTTCGCTTAACATGATACTTTCCATGTAGTACCACTTGTATGTAAATTTCGTGACTTGTCTTTTCTAACAGCTACATAGTACTCCATTGTGTAAATTCTCTAATCAGTCATCTGTTCTCAGGCACTCAGGTTTTTTCCAGATTCTGGCTATTGTAAAGAGTGCTGCAATAAACAGACAATTGCAGATATCACTTCGACTATACTTTTTTGCCTCTCTGGGATATATTCCCAGGAGTGGTATTGCTGGATCAAATGGCCCCCTTTTTTTTCTGTGTTGTGATTCATGACTCATGATGCAGTTTGAAAAAATGTTTAGTTTATATTATGAAAATGCTAATGAAAAGGGATAATCAGAAATTTTTCATCAGAAATTGTAGATTGGGACCAGGGATATGGTTCAGGGGTAAAGCATTTGCTCTGGATGTTTTGATCCCTTGCACCACAGTCATTGAGATTAAATTATAACCATACTTTGTAACCATTTGAATATATTTTTTAATTGTCTAGATCTGTTTCCTAAAGTGGGTGATACACCCTGTAGTGTATGGGTGTGGGGGACACTCAATCCAGGGGTGGGGTGACAGTAGCCTGTGATGCAGTTGTAAGGAGGTTGTAAGATGTGCTTTCTGTTTCTTCCCCTCTGGAAGGTAGATTTCCAGGGGGTCCTGGCTAGGAAGTAGGACACAAGAGTTTGGAATCTTTTGGTAACCTCAGTCACTTTAGGAGTGAAGTAAAGGGTGTGTGTGTGTGTCAGTGTATATATGTATACACACACTACATATATGTGTGTATACATATATATGTATATATATAGTATAGCTTGCTTTGTTCCCATTTAAATTTTTTCTGGGCTATTTTTCTTTATCTTTGTTTTTAGTAAACACCTGGTGTTGCAGAACTTGTTCCTAGCTCTTCACTCAGGGATCACTTCTGGTGGGATTTGGGGGACCATATGGGGTGCCAGGGATCAAACCTGGGTTGGCCACATATAAGGCAAGTGGTCGATCCACTGTACTATCCTTCCAACCCAATTTTTCCGTAACTTTAACATTTTCTTCATAATTATAATCGCAGCTGTTATGACTAGTCCTCAATAAGATATACCAGCATGGACAAAGTAAGAGCCAAAGAGAGAATATTTTCATTTTTGGGGGGTAAAATGATCTCTTTTGCAACTACTTAACTCTGCCTTTGAGCTTGTGAGCAGTCTTAATAGCAAAAGACAAGTGAGCCTGGCTGTATTCCAGGGAAACTATACTGAACAGTCAGATACAGGCTGTGTGTGTTTTGATAATCATTAAGTTTCAAAACTTTCTAAGCCAGTCTTTTATATATTCTAGAAAAAAAGCGACAGTTTGAAATGAAAAGGAAGCTTCACTACAATGAAGGACTGAATATTAAATTAGCTAGACAATTAATTTCAAAAGATCTAAATGAGGAGGAAGAAGAAGATGAAGAAATGTCAGAGGATGTTACGTCTGGAGGAACTGTGAGCATGGAGGAATCAAGTCAAGGTTAGATATTTCAAAAAATTTAACTGAGACTCTTGTTTTCTTTATACCCAAATGGAAACCTTATTCTGCTTTAAACATTTTTTTTCTTTTTTATGTTATAGGGTATCTAACCCAGAGTTCCTTTGTTGTCTTTGTTTGCTATTTACTGATATTTTGTTGTTTGAGGTTCATTTTCTTTTGTTTTTGCTTTTTTTTCCTTCATTTTTATTTATTTTTTCATTTTTATTAGTGAGACATCATGACAATTAGTTGTAGACTTACAAATTTTTGTGCTTGGGTTTCAGTTATACAATGATCAATACCCATCCCTCCACCAGTGTTGTTTTTGCTTTTGATGCTGGAGATTTTTTTATCTTTTGCAGAGTGGGGAGCCACATCCAGTGGTCCTGGGGATTTACTCCCTATGGTGCCTGGGAGTAAACCTAGTTCAGCTGCATACAAATCATGCTTGCCCTTTCAGCTCTTGCTCCATGATGCCAGGGATTGAACCTGAGGCCTCTCACATGCAACACAGATGCTTTGCTGATGACCTTATATCTCTGACCCCTGGACGATTTCTCTTGATGTATTCATTACATATTGGCAATAATATTTTTTTTGACTTATGCTTTCCATGTTCTTAAGTGACTGGTGAACCACTGGGAATATTTATTGCCCACTTCAAATTTGCACTAGTAGGGACTTGCACTTGGCAAAAATTAAAGAGATTTGGTGGGGGGTGGGTACAGAGAGCCTTCTAGCCAGTGCTCAGTGGGGCTCAGGGCCTCTTGTAGAGATATTTAATCAACTTGACTGGCAGATTAGTGCTCAGAGCAGCAGAGTGGTATACTGCTTGGGCCCTGACATGCTGGGTAGAGTACACCAGGTCACCTGGACATTGCTCGAGAAGCTCCTGGCCGTGTGTGGGAGGCCTGTGGTGTATGTGCGCTAGACCTTCTACTTAATCCCTGGCCACAGCGGGATTTTGTTTTAAGCCATAACTTTGGAAAAGGACTAGGGAGATAGATAGCTCAACTAAGTGTGTGCTTTGCATGCAGGAGGCCTGACTTCAGTCTTTGGCACTGCAGAGTCACCAAAGCATTGCCCAGTGTTGCTCAGAAAAAAAAAAGAAAAGAAAAGTAGCCTTTCATCTGTCTCTGCTTGAAATAATTAGATTTTACCTATTTAGTGCATAAATACAGTTTTTGTTAATAGTGGATTATTTGTTAGTGCCCGATTTTTCTTCAGTGCAAGTGAAATACTCTTTACACAGAGGAGTGTGTCCTTCTTAAGTTCCTTGCTTTTTTTCCTCTGTCCAATTTTGGTCCTTAAAAAAAATCTTAGTTTCACAAGGGCATCAGCGGAGGGTCTTGGGCGCTTTGGTTGTGGTAAGGTAAGGTAACTGTAATGCTCCAGAACATAAGTGTTAATATTGTTGTAATTTGTTTTTGGTTTTGGAGTCAGATATCTAATGGTGCTCAAGGCTTATTCCCGATTCTGCACCAGGGATCACTCTTGGCGGAACTCGGGGGATCATATGGAGTGTCAGGGATTGAACATGATTCATCTGCTTGCCAGGCAAATGCCTTACCCGCTGTACTATCACTCCAGCCCCAGAATTAAATTTATGAGGTTTTCCTTCATTTTATTTTGATGGGGGGCTATGCCCAGTCATGCTCAAACGTTACTTCTGATGCTGTACTCCAGAATGACTCCTGGCAGTGCACGGGCGACTATATGGAATGCCAGGCATTGAACCTGGATTGGCCATATGCAGGGCAAGCGCCTTACCTGTCTGTACTAGCACTCTAGCTCCTGTTGGAAATTTAGACCCCAAACTATAATAATTTAAAAAAATTTAAGGACTGGGACTGGAGAGATAGCACAACGGGTAGGGCGTTTACCTTGCACGCAGCCGACCCGGGTTCGATTCCCAGCGTCCCATATGGTCCCCTGAGCACTGCCAGGAGTAACTGCTGAGTGCAGAGCCAGGAGTAACCCCTGTGCATCGCCGGGTGTGACCCAAAAAGCAAAAAAAAAAAAAATTTAAGGACTGATGGAGGAGTATGGACTTTGTAGTACGTCATAGCTTTGTACATCAGAATGAAAAATAGTTAAATTTTTTAACTTAACCTATCTCTCTAGCTTGAGGCTAGAGAGATAGGTTAAGAACTACTTAACCTATCTCTCTAGCTTGAGGCTAGAGAGATAGGTTAAGAACTAGTACATGCTTTGTATTCAAGAGACCAAGCATATATAGTCCTAGAACATCATGGAATGACCCTTGAGCTCCAAATCGAGAGTAGCCCCTGAGCACAGCTCGGATTAATTTAAACACATGCGCACATGAACACACACACACACCCCCCAAAAAAAAAAACTTACTAAGTTTTAAATTTTCTAGAATCCATGGAGTAAAGAGATAGTACAGAATAAGGCACTTGTCTTACATGAGACTAATACCAGTTCAATCCCTGGTACCATATATGGGTCCCCTGAGCACAGCCAGTAGTGATCCCTGAGCATAGCCGGGTTTGGCCCCCCAAAAAGTAAAGACTTTTTTTAATTCCACAGAAACCTTTACTTTTTTTATTATTCTACCTCATCCCCTTAACTCTTGTCTTCTCTGTTTTATTATTGTTATAAAAAATGGCATGGTCATACTCCGAGGAAAATGTTTTGCTATTTTGAGATCATAAACACAAATCTTGTTTATAACTTTGGATATTTAAGTTGTAATAAAATGCAAAATTGATTTAGTTACAGAAGTGTTTGGAGTAGGGGACTGGAGGAATAAGTAGGTCGTTTGCCTTGCGTGCAGCCAACCCGGGTTCGATCAGTCCCCTGAGCACCACCAGGAGTAATCCCCAGGTATCTCCAGATGAGGAAGTTTTGGTGTAAAATCTGTCCTGTCACCAAGTAAAGGCACCTATTCTGCTCCTTGGTTATACAGACTTTTTTTCTTTCTTTTTTTTTTAATGTCAGACTAGCCTACATGAAATATCTCTTAATTATTAGACTTTTAGTATTTGTTCATTTTACATAGCAATAGAGGGAATTTAGACGGCAGTAAAGGGAAGTTAGTTAATGTGGTTTCAAGATTGGTAGAACAGTGATGAATTAGATTGACTTCTTTTCTTTCCTCTTTGCAGGATCTACTTCAAGTGACCAACTGAAAAACCAATCACAGAGTTCATAGAAGAAATTTGTTCCACACTGTAATTGTCATACATGAACCCTCTTCTTTAATACACAATTTATCACAATTAATGACTTACGTACCAAAATGCATATGTTATTATATATTGCCAAGAATTAAATAATCAGAGTGAACATGCCTAATCGATGCGTATATCTTTTGCCTACTAAATACTTTACCACAAAAGCAGTATAATGTCATCAGTCCAAAACCAAATTACTTTTGTAAGAATACTGGTTAATTTGTGTAGATAGTATATAGCTTTTTATGCTTAGAGGATAAATATCTTTTGGGGTGGGGGATGGTTCTAATTTATGTTCTTTCCTAGATAGGATAGCGCTTATAAAGTTTTTTTTTTTATCAAAATTCAGTTGAAACAACAGTTTATATAGGCTGATAAGTGTTCAGTCTGAAAAATATTTTAACATGATGTAGCTTTAACTTGATTTGTTTAATTGAAAAAGATTATCAAAGTTACTATTGCCTTTTCTAGACTACTACAACTTTTCTGTTGACTTTTTTTACAAAGGAAGAATTGACCTTTTTCTCATCAAAACTTTTTCCACAAATATATATATATATCAGGTGAAACTTGCACTAGTGTCTGCTCTGACCGTTTTATATACTCAGTGGGCAGCTTCAGATCAGTTTTAAAATAAATATGCTAACATAGTTTCAGCATTCCCTTTGTGTAATGTGCTGTGCCTCTTGCCGTTATTTCTTAATTGCTTTCAGCACATACGTACACAATATTTTACCTTTATAAAGGCTCAGAAAGATTGTCATGACTTTAGGAACACTTTCTTCTCTTACATATTTTATTATTTGTTGTAACAGTGACATTATTATTTTACTATCAATGCTGTTCTTCTAAGCCATGGAGAAAATAGACTTTCTTGCAGCATTACTGTAGACAGGAAATGAATTTCAGAATCTCTTCACCTCTCTGATTTATAGCTTTGGAATCAAATTACTATTACTAGTTTTGTTTGACTTAATTAGACCTTAGAAAACAACTTAGTGAGGGTTTTTTGTTTTCTAGTTTTTTTTGGGGGGGGTTATTTTTCAGAATAAAGGAATTGTGTGTTATTATGATCATATCTGAATGTACAGACAGGGATAATCCTGAATACGTTTTAATTTAAAAACTTAGTCCCTGCTTTAAGGGAATATGATAATGTATATTATGACAAATATACTTTATTCTTCTAACAGTGAGTTTTGAATTGTTTTTCTTGGAATGAAGTGCAGTTCTGTGTATCTGGTTTAGTGATGGTTTCATTTCTAGTCAGTTGTCTGTGTCTTAATTTTTTGTTAGTACATTATATAAACACTCAGTATAATTTCTATATATTGTATATATAAAAGTTTTATTGAACAGCTTGTCTTCCACTTGCAAGTTAGTGGAAATATCAATATGTCGAATAAATAAAAAAGTGGGGGACTTCTTTGCTGTTAAAGGAATGTGCTTATTTTGAATGTCTTTTTTTAAAATGGGATCCAATCAAAGTACTTATGAAATGCAGTGTAGTATTCTAACTAAAACATATTAGCTAGTAATACCATTGATTTATAAACAAGCATTTATCTCTACTTTCTGAATTTATAATATTGAGATATGCTTACCTGTTGAAACCTGTTTGGGAAGCTTGTCATTATGTGTGTACATATATTTATGCACACAGAGCAGTTTTTGGCTTTCTCGTTTTGAGTTTTTTTAGAGAGTATCTACTTACTCTATTTATAGAAATAGCTGTAGTGCAGTAAACATATTATTCTTTTGGTGTTTTCTACGTACTATTTCTTGAAACTTAAACAATAGACAAACTGAGGGTAGATGGCTATCTCGGAGCAGTAAGACATAGCAAATATTATGCTCATAGGTAGATGTAACTGAATAAAGCTGTTTGCAGAGCTCAGAGGTAGACTGTAGGCTTGCATGTACTGGATTATATATCCCCTGCACTGCCCAAAACAAACCCAACTTTCCATTATGCTACGAGTTCCTAATTTGACAATGGTATTGGACTATATAGTTAGACTTTCCTGTGGAGAAAGTTACCTTTCAGCGTTCAAGTCTAGCCAAGATAGATTTTCACTTTCGGTTTATTAATGTCACTTCCTCGTTTAACCCTTGGTGTCATATTTTCTGTTTATTTCTTTTTCATTCTGAAGTTCACAGATGCTCCTTATAATCCGAGACAGAATGGTACAAATGAATTGTTAAAAGCAGGTTAAATTGCCATTTTCCCCTAGACTTTGATTTTTGTTTACATGATTCCTTTAAGTTAGTACAGAAACATGTTGTAATAAAATACAGTCCTCTTGACAATTACCTGTGTGTGGATTTTATTTTCTTGCTGTCTGTCTGTCTCAGAACCATGTTCCATGACCAAGGGTTCTGGATATCAAGAGAGGCTCTTGAACTACATTGTTGCAAAATAATTTTTGTAGGACAAGCTGCATTCATTAACAACTTTTCCTCCAATGTTATGCTGTGTCTAATCCTTAAAGTCTGAGTGTCCATACTTTTTCTTGGCTGATTAGTATGGGAGCCACACCTAGTGGAGCATGGGCTTTTCTGACTTGGTGCGTGGGTTTCTTTCCTGACTGTTTGGGGTACCATGCAGTAATGGGATGGAATCTGGGCCTCCTGGGCATACAGAGCATGCGCACAGACATAGCATATCAGCATATCAGCTACTCACCGGGGAAATGGAAAGAGCAAATACCAATATCTCCCCAGCCCTTAATGCATATTTCCTAGTGAGGAAAATGCTGTTGGCCTATTATACGTGTTGACTATCTCCATTCTTTTTAATTTTACATATTTTTTTTTGTTTGGGGCCACACCCAGCAGTGCTAAGGGGTTATTTCTGACATTACTCCAGAATGACTCCTGGCAGGGTCGGGACCTAAGCAGGCTGTCTTGAACTTAAAAGCTCAGTGCTGGGGTCATAGCGACAGTACAGCAGGAAGGGCCTTTGCACGCGACAAACCCGGGTTCGATTCCTGGCATCCAGTATGGTGCCCCCAGCACCACCAGGCATAATTCCTGAGTGCAGAGCCAGGAGCAACCCCTGTGCATCACTGGGTGTGACCCAAAAAGAAAGAAAAAAAAAAGCTCAGTGTTAAGAAAGTACTAGCTAGTCTTTGAAAATCAGCCTATGCCAGCATTTCTCATATATTCCATGGAATTCCAATCCCGCATGCTCACTGAAAGAGGTTCCATGAGCAAATATGCTATTTCAGGGTCACACCAATCAGTGCTCACAGGCTACTACTTACATAGTTTTTGGGAAACCTTGAAACCTGGGCCTCAGCGTGTATAGCATGTGCAGTAGCCCTTTGAGCTATTTTCCCAGGCCTGTAAATAAGTTTGGGGTAGGCTGTAATACTTTACTCTCCTTCCCTTTGGAGACTTTTAATCATCATATTAAAGGGTCTGGTATGAAAAATCTATTTAAAACTTAATTTAACCCAATATATTCAAACATGTCATTATAAACCAGCCTCCCTCGGCCTCATTATTTTCCTCATATAGAATCTCTCATGGGGATAGGATCCTAGGTGCTCAAGGGTTTCTAAAATGCTATGTTTGCTTCTTCCAAAAGAAAAACACACTGTCCTCCTATTGTTCATCGATTTGCTCGAGCAGGCCCAGTAACGTCTCCATTTTGAGACTTGTTACTGTGTTTGGCATATTGAATATGTCATGGGTAGCGAAATACTCTTGGTAGCTTGCCAGGCTCTCCAAGAGGGGCAGAAGGATCAAACCCAGCTCGGCTGGGCTGGCTGCGCGCAAGACAAACACCCTACCGCTGCGCTATCGCTCTAGTCCAAAAGAGGAAGAGACAATTTGACAGACAAAACTTAACTTTTGGGAAAAAAAAACTTGTTGGTCTCATACAAGAAACTAAAATACGTCCTCAATGTAGTCCAGGGTGTGGGGATGCTCTTGGTTCTTATGCGACTTGTTACTTAAACCTAACTGCTCCAAGCAATTTTCTAAAGTGCTTTGTCTTTGCCATCAGCTGTTACAACTAATTGATCAGCATATCAGCTACTCACTGGGGAAATGGAAAGAGCAAATACCAAGTGTCTCTTCTAACTCACTCAACCCCTGCACCCAGTTGCAGAGGGGTGAGGGTGTTTGACTCATCGTTCTGTATTTTGGGGGCTCTTGTTTTTTGTTTTTAGGAATTATTTGGGAGAATTAGCGCTTCACAGTAGGTGAGGGTGGATTTGGCAAGCATATAGTCATGATTTCATGTCTGAAAAAAAAATTTTTTTTTCAGTAAATCTGCCAAGTATTTTAGTTCTAGTACCATTTTAGTTCTATTTATTACCACTTGGGATTGCTAGAATTAGAATAGAACTATAAGTTTCAGTTCTGTTTAATTCCTTCTGGATTGATGACAGAGTGTTGACTAGTAAGAGAAGCTAGTGCAGGCTGATTTAGTATCGTTTGACCACTTTTTTTTTTACCATTTGATGGTGGTTTGCAGCCATCTGTACATTATCCTTGATTGAATAAAATATTTCAACCTGGTGAGGTGTTACCAATAATAGACCTAATAAACATAGAAAGGAGAAAATTTAGTTCCACTCTTGTTCACTTATACTCTGTGGTATCTGAATTGTCTTACATAAGTAATTAAGAGATAATATAGTTTCCCTAGGTAAAAGAAATAGCAATTAAAAACCACGCACTTTATTCTCAGGCTCCAGGCCAAGCTAATTGGAGATAAGGATATGAAACTCTGCCTTTTAGTGCTTCCAAACTTAGATGAACATACAGAGCACAGGGTACTGCTTTGGGTGAACATTGGCAGAGTAACATTTGAGCCATTCTTAGATCTTTAAGATTTCTAGAAAGATCTTTGTTTCCCTGCAAACCAAACTAAGACCTTCATAAGTCACCTACCACAAAATTGTCACTAAGCAAGACACAGGGATGCTACAGAAATCAGAAACTTCCAATAATTTGTTTCAGAGTCTAATTAAATGTTGGGTTCCAGAAGTAGTTATGTAGGCTTTTAGGCATTTTAGTAAGACCTAAATCTGATCATTAGAGTGCCAGTGGGTGGTGGGTGGGTAGATCTAGGATAAGACCACGATTTGGGACTATTTCAAAGCTCCCAGGAAAAAAGTATCTTGAGTTTTTGCAGCAAATAACAAAGTATGTAGAATTGGATTTAGGTATCTTTAAAAGCATTCCAAGGGGGAAACAACAGTTGACCAGGTCACAAAGTAAATCAAAGAAAGAATGATAGTCATTATCCTAAGCTTCAAGCATTGTTCCATAGACAAGTCATCTGGAATGTTACAGTTTGGATGAGGAGACACTGATAACAATGTAAAGTTGAAGGAAAAGTGTTTTTAGAACATTACTAAAACATTTACTACACCAGCCATGCCCAGCATTTGTGAGGCAGTATTCATAAAAGGTAAATTAAAGATGTGGGGTAAGGGGGTTGGAAAGATGGTATGGCAAGCAGAATATGTGACTGACCCAGGTTCAATCCCCAGCATCTCATGTGAACCCCCCTTCCAAAGCCCCTAGGACTGATCCTTGAGTGCAGAGCTAGGAGGAAGCCCAGAGCACTGCCGGCCAGGTATGACCCCAAAACAAAATAAAGATGGTTCTTGGAAAAAAATATGCCATTATTATGACTAAAATCAAAACATGAGATGTGAAAGAGGTAAAAAAGATTTTAGGATTCTATTTTTATGTAAAATGTCTCAGATATCAAACAAGTTCTTAACTGACCACACTGTTTTTCCTCCATTTTCATTTGCTTTATCTCCAAGCTAAAATATTCTCTCCAAATCAATCACTCTGCACTGTCTTTCTCGACAACAAATCCTTTCATTCTCTCAAGTATCCAAGCCCCTAGCCCCCTGCCCCATGGACCCTTACCTGCATAATGAATTTGGTGGGAATGGGAGAGAGCATACCCACGAATGCTCCAGGACTGCCCTTGACACAGTACTCAGGGGACCATGCAGTACCCAGGGTCAGACCCAGGGCGCCCCTCTGCAAAGCACACATTCCAGCCCATTGAGCCATCCTCCTTTGCCCCTGTACGAAGAATCTTGTCTCTTCCCTTCTCCAATTCCTACTTTAGGATCCTAGATAAGCACATTCATACCTTGCTTTAGTGTCACAACCTCCTGACTTCCAAATTTTCATTCTGTCTCCTTCCAAACCGTCTTTTTGGCCAAGTTTTGGTTTTGGTTTTTTTAGGGGGCTGGAGACTAGGAGCATACCTAGCAGTACTCAGGGCTTGCTCCTGGCTCCGTGCTCAGGGATCACTCAAGGGACATATCATATATGGTGCTAGGAAGCCCCTTTTTCATTGTACTATCTCTGTCCATCCCACCAATCTATTTTCTCTAATAGTAAGTCTTGTGAACCTGGGAAATGCTTCAAAGAGCTGGGGTGCATGCTGCGCATGAAGGAGAAACCCAGATTCAACCTCTGACACTTCCAAAATTGGCCCCTAGACACCACTAAAACAACAAAACAGCAAATCTTGTTGCCTGCTATTTAAAGTCCTCCATTGATTTCTCGACCACCTTCAAGAATGAGCGCCCCTATCTGTGAAGGCACACTTAACATTTAATGTACAGGGCTGGAGTGATAGTACAGTGGGTAGGGCGTTTGCCTTGCATGTGGCTGACCCAGGTTTGATTCCCAGCATCCCATATTGTCCCCCAAGTGCTGCCAGGAGTAATTTCTGAGTGCAAAGCCAGGAGTAATCCCTGTGCGTGCGACCCAAAAAGGAAAGAAAGAAAAAAAATTACATTTGCATTTCTTTTTCTCTCTCATTTTCTCCAGTTCACTTGAGTTTCTCCCTGCTTTTCAGAACCGGACACTAAACCACTCCTTTCACTTGAAATTCTCCTCACTAATTCTTCATATGACTTGACTTCTCCTTTTTCAGGTTGAGACCTGAGATGCCTCCAGAGATGCTATTCCCTGCAGGGAGATGGCTCAAAGGGCTGGGACTCATGCTTTGCATGTGGGAACCCCAGGTTTGATCCACAGCACCGCAAGTCCTTGTGAGCATCCCTGGGTGTGACCCATATACACACTACAATGATCCTTTTATTAGTTGCAGGCTCTTTGGCTAACTGCGGGATTTGCCTGGTGGTGCCGGCCTTCCTCGATAGATCGTGAGGACAGAGGCTCTGCTGCTTAACTCCATTCTCAGAGCTTCCTTGGGCAACTCAAGAGAAGCTTTAATAAACGCTGCTCAGATAAAGGAAGATGATTGTTTATAATGTGATTTACCTTTCTCTTCCTATTATCTTTAAGCCTATCC